TTCTAAGTAATTTGAATTAATCGGCGTTATAGGCCAAAGTTCTAGAACACTTGAGCAGCACTAAGCAACCCAATATGTTGTACAATCCTGTAACTGGAGTCTCTCCAACCCTTTCGACATGCTGGTTTTACTATCCCACTCCCCTGTCGACACAAGTTGGATGGTTTATGAGGCAGACTGCTCTTCACTTGCTTGTAAACCCAAGATGTACGAAATTTAAAAAAAAGATATGAAAATGCTGCAGGCTATTTCACACAATAACAAGCATAGTAGAGAATCTTAAAATCCGCAATCAAATTTGATTTTTTTAAAAGTTTCCTTTCCATGGATACGGCGGCCATATTGGATTTTGTTGACATGTCTTACGTAATGAATACCGCATTTATATTGTTTTTTGCATGTGTGTTAACAAACATTAGATCTAAAAATGTGTCTGGTTTTTTTTTTCTTAAACTTAAAACGAATTAGAAAATTTTTAATGAATTTTTTCCTGAGGTAGCATTCAAGTTTGCAAACAAATCCGTGAAAATCCACACTCCAGACACCGCCAACATAAATCTATTCCAATAAAAAATTCAACAAACAAATTTTTAGTATTACATCTTCTCTTCATTCTGTGAAAATTTCGTGAAGATTGGAGTTATTTAAAAAAGTATAGAGGCAAGTCGCATTTTGAGAAAATGGCCGATACAGAAAAATTAGGCCCGGTTTGTAAAAAATACGCTTTTTGGGGGTTCTTAAGAGATGCAATAGTTGTAGGAGAGGCTGGGGAAGCTAAAAATGCCTACAACTCAAATTCCATAATTTTTTAAAGCCGAATCTTGACTTTGGGGGTGCAGGCCTACTCCATAAAAAATACTGTGTTCCTTATGTCGGAATTGAACTTATGACTTTTGCCTGGTAAGGGGAAGAGCGAAACCATAATATCATGGAAAGGCAGTTGAACCTGCTCTAGCGGCCACCTGTATAAGACAATTACCTGTACAAACTTCCCTTTCCCCACACTGGCGTCTTTTTAATCATTGTAATGACTCTGTCAAAGACAGCCATTTTCCTCCTCGACAACGAGAGGTAGTCTTGGACGATTTCGACTGATATATTCAAAATGTGTTCCCCATGCATGTAAGAACTGAACTCGTGACTTTTGCGTGAAAAGAGAAGAGCAAAACTGTTACACGTCCACTTGTTTACAGCCCAAGAAAAATTATGTCTAAAAGCTTTGCGTTCATTTCATCAAAACATTTTTTTTAAAAAAATTTTTGTGGGGGGGGGGGGGGGTTAAATGTAGGTGTTCTCACGCCCCCATCGATACAATTTAGATCACCTAGGAGGCAGGCTTCAACCCTGTCTATTAGAACAAACTCAGACTGAAGTGAAAGGGAAACAACATTCCCACAGAAAGACTGATGTTACTCAATCAAAATTCTCACCCAAGAACCGAGCTCACGTCTTCTGCGTGTGAAGTTGAAGCGTCTAAGCACTCCAACACTGACGCTGGTTTTATTCCATCAACTAATAGAAAAGGGACAGAACAACTGAAGATCTTCTTAGTTTTAGTAAGTGTTTTACGACATTTGCAACACACTAAGGTCATATAAGTGCCGAAGATTAGAGGTGTTGCAAGACAGTAACAAACACAAAATAGAAGGAGGGGAGATAAAGACGTTAGATGTTTGATAGGAAAGAAGGAGCAAACCACACCAGAGCACCAGCCAACCACCCACTGAAGATCTTCATCACAACACAATTTGAGACTTGAAAAAAACACCTGACATATCCCGGACAAAACAACTATTTCAAACTGTTTCTTTGGTGCACAAACATAGTAGGCCTACTTGGTGGCTCCTAGTAACATAGCAAACTATACAAATCACAGAGCATTAACATTCTTGGTTAGAAGTATTTAATAAATACTTCGTTCCAAAAACACCTTTTATGCTCTAGTTTTGGTAAGAGTTTTGCAAAACTGTAACTGAGGAGGTTGCAAGAGAATAACAAATACAAAAAGAGAAGGAGAAAAGACAAGGACAATAGATGTTTGGTAAGAAAGAAGAAGCAAACCACATGGGAGCACCCACCCACCACGCACTGATTTGCTGTGTTATTTCCTCACAATAAACTTGATAAAAACTTCAAAGAAGTTATCGGTGGCTTCTTGTTAATAGTTGGAAAAACAAATTACCAGTAGATCAAAATGTTATGAAGACTATAAGAAAAGAGAAAACTGAGTCAGCCAATGAACATCTCATGCCAGAGGTCAGGGGTTCAAACATTTTTCACAACCGTAATCTACAAGTACAAGTATATATGTTTAACACATTATGTTTCACCTGTCGTAAAACTAGCTTTATTTTTACCTTTAAGAAAAGGAAATGGAGATTTCAGAAATTTGTAAAAAGTTAAAGCTCAGTTTCACTCAGTGGTAGAGTATGAGACAGGTGAGATGTATATTATAGAACCAGATGGCCCTACCATTCTCCTCTGTTGATGCATTGGTCAACGTCAAACATTGACAAACCATTATTATTATTATTAGGGCCTTCTATTACATGTATGAACTTGTCTTGGCACATGAGGCTGCTTTAATACACTACAGCTGACTATGATCATGAGAAATCAACATAAAAAAAGAACACAAAAAATGTAGTATGAGTACTACAAACTTATTTATTTCATTGTCTCATTACTGTATCTCACTCTCTCTCTCTCCCCCTCTCTATCTCTCTTGCACGCACACACACACACATACACACACACAAACACACTTTGCCATGGCACCGTTAGAAGCTTTAGCACGCTAAAGCTGAAAATGAGATATTTAATTAACAAAAGATAAAAATGCAGTAGAACAAAAGGATTAATTATATTCTTATATTATCACACACACACACACACACATACAAACACATTTAATTTGTCTTGGTACAATACATTGCGATAACACACAAAACCTGACATATAAGATGTCATCAAGGACACAAAAATGCAATAATACAAAACTGATTTATAAATAGTTTATATATATATTAATCTCTGCAATCTCCCTCTTTTTCTCTGTCATGTACACATACTCACGTGTGCATGCACTCACACATGCACACACACAAAAACACACACTTTGACAAGTTTAGCATAGGTCACACATGAAATATAGCTAGCTGGAGGTGTGACAGGAAATTTTTGGTTTTCTTGTTTTTCATTGGTCAACTCGCATAAACGTGTTCTATGAAAACTGGGTTCAAGTGTATTGTGTATTTGACAAAAAATATACTAAATTTGATAAGCGAAAATAAGACGGTTATAAAACATTTGAAAAAGAAACAATCTTTGAGTGAAATGTTCTATCACAGAAGATTCAATCCTGAAGACTAACACTTATTGTAAAACATGGAGTTTTGCATTTCATATGTTTTGTGATGAAGCTCTTCAAATGAACAAAATAAACAAAAAAAAAAAAAGAAAAAAGCCCAACCCAAGACAAAAACAAAACAAAAAACCAAACCCAAAACAAACAACAACAAAAATCCCAAGTAACTAAAAAAAACCCCACCATGCTCTAATAATTTATTCTTGCATACTCTGAATTATGACCAGTTGTCATAGTTCAAAAACACCAGCAAAAAAGGTAGCTTATCTTAAAGAGGACCTGTGAAATGTATACATTTGGCAAGCCCTGCCTCAAAATGGCACGTAACATATTGAAAAAAAAAAATGAACCAAATTTCGAAATGGTAGGTCAAGCAACTGAGACTTTGATAAACAATGTATAACACAATGAAGAAACAAATTTGATTTCTTTGGTAGAGAAAGTTAATTGCTGATAATGGTAGCATGTAGGTAATTATTATTCATTAGCTCGTCATGCGCATACTAGCAGCGTATACGAGCGTTGTCATCTTGTTTTGGAGCACTTCACCGAACAGATCATTCTGGATCAACATTATTCTAATTTCGAAGTTATATTGCTTATTGTGATCTCCTTTTAGATTTATTGTAATGACAACCAACGCTGACTCTGTTCAAGTTGGTGAACGTTCGCTTACTGATATTCTTGAGACAACAACAAAACAGTTGAGTAGACTAAAATCAAGCTGATCAACCGTCTGCTCCTTAAGTTGCTTTTGTCGATACCGACACGGACAATGTCTTACAATCCGGTCTAGAACCAGTAAACCTTTCTCCTGGCTCCGACATTCCAGCCTCGCCCTACGAGGATATTCAGAGGCAGTTTGAATGTGTTTGGACGCTGCTGCCAAAAGAGTCACAAAAATGTTGGAGTTGTTCTGGCAGCATCAACGGTTGCTACGAACACCAGCAGCAGCTCCTGTGCCTCCGCCTGCACCCCCTGCTCCCGCAGTGCGAGAAGAGATGTGGATGAAGATGTGTCCGTGAACCCGAGTCAGAGCCAGACTCCAATAGAGGAGACAAGAAAAAGGAAACAGCCAGCAACTATAGCTGCCTGCAGCAGTGCCAAGAATCTGGTTCCCTTCTCTCCATCGGTCAACGAGAGTACAAACTCCAGACCATCTTGTTCAGACCCTGATAGGCAGGTCGAAAGTAGTGAAGCTAGGAAAGGTTTCAAGCGCTGCTGTGACAGTGGAAGACCCTCCCCTGGAAGAAGCGGACTTCTTTACCTACCTTGGAAGTGTCATCGAAGATAAAGTTCGAACCGAGGCAGAGGATAAAGCAAGAACTGCCAAGGCAAGGTCAGCATTCAATCAATTATCAAAAGTCTGGAAAGCAAGTAGCATCTCACTGCACACCAAGCTTCGACTCTTTAACTCCAACGTCAAGTCTGTGCTCCTTTACGGTTGTGAAACTTGGAAGACAACAAAGACAGTACTGAATAAAGTCCAGACTTTCATCAACAGATGTATGAGGAGTATTCTAAGAATTAAGGGGCAGGATAGAATAAGAAATGAAAAGCTGGGGTAAAAGACAGGACAAAAGGATATAACAGAATTAGAAATAAGACTAAGAAAGTGGCGATGGATGGGACACACCTTAAGAAAGCCCAGCGGAAACATCACAAGACCGTCACTGCAGCGGAACCCACAGGGAGCACGAGGCAGGGGTGGGCCACAAGAAACATGGACGACATGAGTGGAAAGGGACATGAGAGAGATGAAGCTCACTTGAAACGAGCTTGGAAGGATGGCCCAGGACAGAGATAAATGGAAGGAGCTTGTATGTGGCCTATACCCGGCCAGGGATGAAAAGGCCTTGATAGTGATGATGATGATATGAAGCAGTTTAAGGGTATGGAAATAAAATGACGTTTACAGATTGTGCAGTCAACATTATAGTTGTAGAGGTAGTTATATATCAATGGCAAGGTAATTAAATATTGATGTTCATTGATGTTAGAAAAGTCATAAAATGGCAATAATAAAACGAACTTTGGACCTTGTTCAAATTGCCAACATATAGGTAATTTGTCCAAAGGTGGTCTCTGGATGTTATTAACATATGGTGAAATGTCCAAGGGTGTTTTTCTAGAAGATATTGATATATCAGCGATATCTACAAAATGTGTTCTCCTGAAGTTACCAATGAATCAGCAATATGTCCCATGCATGGTGTTCTCCAAAAGTCCCCAATATTCCGTGATACATCTGAGAACAGTTAGAGCATCTTGTGTCTCTGCGTGGGTAGTGGAACTCTCCAGCAGGTGAGAACGTGAGAGACGCCGGTGAGGAGGAGGAGGAAGATGATCATCACCATGACAATGACGTAGTGGCTGATGGAGGAACCAATCTCCAGCCAGCTACCGTAGTCGCGGACCAGGAAGAAGAAATGCTGAAATAAACGATGGAGACAAGTTGAGTTCAGTTTCTCCTTTAGCAAAAATACAGACAGACGTCTTAAACATTCTCATTATAATGCCTACCCCCTACCCCCCAAAAAAAAATAACAAAACAAAACAACCATAAACAAAACTGCAAGGAGGGAAATGGAAAGAGTTTTTTTGTACAGGTGATTGTCTCTATACAAGTGGAAATTGGAGCAGGTATGAGTATGTGTGACAGTATCACTAAGATCTAAAAATGATTTTTTTTGGGGGGGAGGAGATTACTTTGGCAGTTTCAAGTGAATTAATAAAGGAATGCCCAATTTCGTACCATGTTCTTTCTTTCATGGAAAAGGAAATGCTTTACACACAGCGGATAAAATACCGTCCAGACCTTCCCCGGTTCCTCCCCGACCATCCTCACCACCCTGCCCGCCCCGCCCGACAGCCCAGCGCGTAGTCATAAATCACTTGTCAGAGGGGTTAATTGGGGTGACCGCAACGCCACTCCTCCTGTGCCGGGGCAGTAGTAAATATGGCGTTTTAGTGCGAATTGAAAGCCTCCTAACTCTGAAACTATAAATGCTACAAGGCCGATTGAGATTTCATTGTAACGTGCTATGTTTGATCTGTAGGCCGGTATAACTTGTTTTCTTGTAAGTCCCATTATATCAGTTTTACAAGGGATTTAAGTAAGTCTGTGATTTTCAAACTGGCATCTTCAATGTTTAGAACTTTTTCAGTTTGGATTTAGATATTTCAATCCGGCCCCCAACGATTTAAACAGAAATTCATGTATCAACTGTGGTGACAATTTTCATTTACATGTGCAAGTTTCAAATGCACGAAGTTATTCTATGATTTTCTGTGATTTTTTAAAAATAGCAACCCACCACTCTGAACATTCATCCTTGCTGTTTTTAGTTTTCTTGCCTCTACTACATCTGAATTTCGTTGTCATTTTTAACAATATATTTGTCATGGAGTGCCACACTCAACATGATCACATGGTGGGCATTGTGCTCAAACATCATCGCCTTCTTGAGGAGGCTGCACATGATATAGATGTACAGCTGGCCCATGATATAGATGTACAGCTGGCACATGATATAGATGTACAGCTGGTCCATCAATCTATGGAGAATTGCACGCCTGGAATAGGACAAAATGTGCATATCTACGGCAAAAAAATGAAAGAGGGCTGGAAAAAAACGAGGAGGACATTCAATTGTTACAGGGCTGTCAGATTTTGTCGGATAATCCACGAGAAGCAGAAAGATTTGAGAGGAAGGGTTCTAGTGTACATGATCAGCTGTCAGAGTTAGAGTTTGAGGAGCTTATTCCAAGGTCAAGTCCTGCCTGCTCTGAATTTGATAACATCCTCAAACAACACAACATCACACCACAGGCCTACCACAGCCGTTTATTTATAGGAAGCCACTGCCATAAATACATCACAGCCCATGTGTACAGACAGCTAGCATCATTTTTAGCAAAAGGAACAGTTGCATGTACACGAAATCAAAGCATAATAGACACCGCATTAATTGTTCTGAGAGAGAAATTTGTTCACGTAAAAGACACCTTCAAAGATATCCACACAGTAATTGCACATGGAAAGCCAATCACTTTAGAGAGAATACCACATATTCAGTCATGCATCACACGATATGTCTTTATACAGAAACATATTTGGCAAATAAAAGGTCTTGAGTCGATAGTGCCGTAAAACACGTGCTACTCAATCAAAATCGATCAAAAGAAAAGGTCATCCCCAAACAACACATCCTTGAGAAACACTGCGTTCCTTGGATACAAAAATGTGGGTTTGGAATGGCCTTCCATTGTGAGCAAGGGGGTGATCTCATTCATGCAACCGTGGCCTAACAGACAAAGAAAAACACGTCAAAACAATCCTGCAGTCACAACACGTATAACCCACCCTGAGCTACTCTGTCGTGTGCACCACCCATCAAAAGACGAAAGCTTACAGCGGAAAAATGAGATAATTCCTCCAGTCCAGCAATGTTGTGTTCTTTTTGTATTTTGTGTTTAGGTTGTGTTATCATAAGTGTATCGGCAAGGAAGGATCTGTTCTGTAGTTACATGTATCGTGGATATCGCTATGAAAAAACAAGGTCGCAAAGCAAGAGTATTGCAAAAATCAACTTCAAACCTGAATAATTACGGATCCAGAAACTTCGTGCATATGCCCCTTTGTCAGTACAAATGTCATTATGTTCTCAGTCCTGTGTGCAAATTTGATTGAATTCGTTGGGGGCAATCATATTTAAATCGATGTTTATAATTGATTACCCATGACACATTTATCAAATTAAGTCCCCTTTTTGAGAACTTCACAGCTTTTAAGTGTAATGTACCATGTTCTTCCGATTTCTTCATTTTCTTCCTTAATATGTTGAATATTTACGTGGTCTTTATTAAAATATTCATCTTACATTAGCTTTGGCTCACTGTGCTGGTAAACTTTGCAAAAAATACAAGAGCGCTGCCGGTGTTCGGCTGATTAGGGAAATCCCCGGCGGCGCAGGTAAATGACCCCGTGACCTGGGGAAGCGCGGGCTTGCTTGCCTCGCGCCAGCCGAAACTAAATGGGCGCTCTATAACCGCTGTGTACAATTTCCTTTCTTCTCTTCCCTTTTTTTTCAGGAGAAAAGAGTATTGGGGTGGACGGGAAGAACATGAACAGTTTTGTCTTACCAAGCCCATAAAGTCTGACATGATCAGCACGATGAGGAAGAGGGAGCGTAGGGGTGTGTGCGTCAAGACCTGCACACCGCGGAAAGCACACGTCACCAGCAGGAAGGGAATCATATTCTGTTTAAAAAAAGAAAGAAATTGAATACACACACACACACACACACAAAAAGAAAAAAAAACCCAACAAAAAAACAAAAACCCAACAACTTATGTGGGATTGCAATAATAATAAAAGCAAAAGTTCCTCTGCCAGTGTCTGACGATGACCAATGCATCCACTGAGGAGAATATTTCTTACTCTTTATCTCCGCGGTCAGAACCACCGAGCTGGTGAGCCGCTGACAACGGCTTGGGCATATTCCTTTGCGTCAACTTCAACATCAAATTACTTTTCGGCAATTGCCGAAAATAGGTCTTCTTTACCGGAATTTCGTTCATGAGAAGAAGTACTATCAAAACAGGCTTGCTAGTTTCAATTTGATGACCCATTTAATGACGTTTTTGTCATTTTTAGATATCACCAAAAAAGGGCCCGAGCATAGTGGGTTTACCCCCCTCGGAGATAAAGAGTTAAACGAAATACAAGAACTGAAGGTTCAGATGACTCATGGCTGTTGTTAAGGCCATTTAGACCAATTCTGACAGAACAAGAACTATATACTTTATTTTCTTTTTCTAACATTAACATCTAGAGTAAAGGCACTATTTGCGGCCGGCTGACCTATGCGGCCACTTTCCTTATAAAGTCAATAACTCAAGACCTGTTTCATTTTCCAAACAGAAACCAAGCTCCTGTGAAGCACTGGCATGAATCATATGTTCACAACAAAGGTGTTCTTAGTAGGCACCAAAGTTTGAGAGCGGCAGAGGTTTGAAGATTTGGTCGATCAAAACATCCATGTGTGAAAATTTGACAGGTCACTTGTCCATGGTCATTACAAAGCTTTCTAATCATATTTTTATTCCATTATAGGCTCGTGTGTTGAAGTAATGAATAAATATCATGTGTAAATGTCTTAACATAAAGAAAACAACAAAGGGGACCCAGGGAGGGGGTGGCCGCATAGTTATTCCCTTATTTTTTTAAAGGGACTTCTTGCGATCGGGGACATCCACAAAAGGTCCACTCCATTGGAGAAAGGCATTGTTGAGGTCAGATACTAACAGTGCCCATCTAACAACAATTTAACTTACCCGGTACATAAATGAATTCAGAAAGCCTGGTTTGTAGTTCTTGACTTCAGTGCGATAGAAGATCAATCAAGACTGATTCCATCAGATTGGGCGCAGTCTGAAGAAACTGCCCTGTCACTTGTCTCTTGACAGGGTGACCACCAGGCCCCGGGAGTTTGAAAAAAATCGCCGGGACCCGGGTAGTTCATTTTTGCCGGTCGCGATTGAGTTATTCGCTCAATTTTTCCCGGTCCGATAACGAAACATTTGTGGCATACAGGTTGCGAATTCTAACCGCCGTGTCGCCGTTAAAATAAATCAATATTGGTGACTGCAGTTACTTAAGAAAAAAAAAAAAAAAAAAAGAAAACGTCTTATTTTCAGCGTATTGGGCTCGGCAACGTGACCGGTCAGTGAACCTGCGCGCACTCGCATCACATGTCATCATGTGAGTATGTTTGCAGGGGTCACAAGAGCGCATTCAAAGCCTGAGCGTTGCTGAGTATTGGACTCCGGAGTGGGGGGAGAATTATTGATTTTTTAAAAAGAAACACTCGGGTCGTTTGTGAAGGTGTCTGTCAAAGTTCCAGGCACTATTTACGTATTCATTGTTTTTTTCAGTCTGTCAAAGTTGTTCATTGTCGTCAGTGTAACAGAGCCGATCATTATTAAGCTTTTTATTTCGTTCTCACTAGCCTCACTTGTTTCTCCCATGACTTCTTTGTTTGTTGTTTACTTTACCGAGCACTGAGTTGGTACTTTAATCGTCTCTTTCAACACAGGAAGGTCATGTAACTTATAAGAGACAGCCGCTCTGGGAATAACACTCGGGGAAAATGTGGGCCCAGCAAGACTGAAACCCGGGATCTTCAATATAATATGAAGCATTTCTCTTACCAATACCTCACAGTGACTCCTGTTGTTTATTTTATAACACCCTACTGTACACAGATGGTCATTTCGAAGGCCGATCACTTGATCTCACAAGAGGACGCCGGGGGGGTCAATAAAAAGCTGAAGCTCAAGAGTATCATACTCTCGGGATTCAAACCTTGGGAATCAACGACGAGGCCACCCTGCTGGCATGTCTTCTTATACAACCCCGCCCCATGGTACACTACAAAATCATGTTGGGAGGTCCTGGCCGCATACATGTCCACATGTGATCGCATCACAATTCCCTGGCCGCATAATGTGTCCTCGATGACCGCATAAAGGTGCCCTGATCGCAAACTGGTCCCTTCACATGGTATTTTAGAATGATCATCCTTCTTGGCAATGTAGCCGAGAATGCTCTTGACCATGATACACCTATTGGCCAGAGAATGTGCAAGTTTGCTGGCCAAAATTTTGTTTTGTTATCTCTATTCGTTTGGCTTCTAGAGCAAATGTGAGGCAGCGTGGTGGAATCAGGCTCTCGTCAAAATAATCAAAGTGAAGAAACTTGCATTTTTCTGCAGGATTTTGCATTTTTATCAAATTTTTGTTTTTTGGCTCAACACCTTTCAAGCCCATTAAAGAACTCATTTCTGCGTGGATTTTTCTGAAAAAGGTTGATTAAAGGCACAAAAAATGTAAATTTTCAGTTACCACGGACTCTTAAGCTAAGGAAATAACTAATCTTTGACGTCCATTTTCTCACTAATTTTACCTCTGAAAACAGGTGACCCCCACCTCATTCATTCGCAAATATCTCGACTTGTATTCAAGATAAAAGGATGTTTTTTCATCCAAATAAAGACAAGTGAACAAGCTTTAAGATGATTTCAATAACTCTACATGCCCCAAAATTGACGAGAGCCTGATTCCACCACGCTGTCTCACAAATTAAGTGAGAAATGGCCACAAATAGTGCCTTTACTCTAACCACTATCCTTCAAATAAAAAAAGCCCCCCCAAGAAAAAGAGAGAAATTTACAATCTTATCATTCTTATTGAGTTTGGAAAAAAATCTCAAGCAGTTGAAAATGAGATTTTTTAGTAAGAGCTTACAGTACTTGCAATGCAAATAGGTCCATAAATTAGAGGTCTTACTAGAGTGTTCAGCATAAGATACAGAGGAAATAAGGATGATAGCTGTTTGATAGGAAAGAAGGAGCAAACCACACCAGTGCACATGCCAACCACCCACGTTGAATATGATCAAAAACTCAAATCATACAGTAGTCGTAGTATTTGAAAGTGCGACGTTCACCTTGAGCATCATGAGGGCTCCCATCAGGAAAGGATTGAACACGGTCAGGAAGCAGTAGACCGAGGCCGGGTCAAAGCTGAAACGTGATAACAACAATATACACGTTCACAGTACACCAGTACAAAGCATAAACATCTTATTTGCAAAGCATTGAGACTGTGAATTCTTAGACTGTGTTTGAATGATAGTAAGAAAACTTTTCTTTCATTTCGAACTCATGTGAAAATCTTCCTGAATGGCCTGGCGAGTCAACAACCTTCATTTCTCAATTACTTCATCAACAATGCTTTTTGCAGATATGGCAATCTTGCATTATACCCACAAATAGCAACACAGTATAATTTGATCTTATCAAAAGCATATAATAATTCACTTCTCATTAGGAGTGACTTGATGAAAGTTCCCAAAAGAGTTTAATTTTTTTTTAAAATTAAAGGTGTAAATTCTTTTGATGTCTGGCTTTTCAGTTGAAACAAAACTTTTGAAATGCTGATGTTTTAGTGACAAGGCTTTGGTAACTGCTTTGACTAGTAAACGGGAAAATACGCCTAATTAAGTTTTAGTTTTAGTAAGGTTATACGGCACTTGCAACTGCATAAGGTCATATGAGCACCAAGAGGCGGGAGTCAGCAGACAATTCCAAACGGGGAATCAAGCTTACTCTGCTCATCTCTCTAGTTTCAACAGCACAAAGTCTTTTTCGACTATCAAGGCACCCCGGAAATAGCAGTTCACAAACGAGAGACAAAAGAAGTAGAGCAAAAATGACAATAGTAAGGATGAGGACAGAAAAGGCAGCATTTCCCCCCTATGAACAGTATGAGCATGACATTGATAAATCCTTCCATTTACAATTCTACTGTGCATAAGAACATGTTAAAACCCCCATTTGGGAATGGCCTAAAACCAACTTCAGTTAGTTGCACTGCCCTGGTGGGGGGTACACCTAATTATAGCTGCAAAGATATATGTTGATACAGTAAAACCCCTAAATATCATACACCGCTTAAAACATACTACTGGTTGTAACGTTCACTTTCTGAAGCCCCAAGTCCCATTTTGTATTTTCAATCTTTGTGGCCAATACACAACTTGGCTAAGCAGTTAAAAATCTTGGGTTCAAAGCAAGTAAGTTATACTGAAGTTTTATTGTAATTGTAATCTTGATTGAGCTATACACAAGCTAATCGTTAAAATCATGAACTATGCTTCACTGAGCAAACTCTCAATTATAAAGATACACTAAGATTCTCATCTGCATCCAGTTATCAACACTATCTAGAATATTTCAGGGTCTTTTAAAAAGGTGAATGTGATAAGTTACTATCAGTCTTTAAAGGATATCTTTTTTTTTTCTTTTTTGTTCTGGAAGATCACTGCTTTCACCTCCCACCTCCCACCTCCCAAAGTATTTTCATTCATTTCCAGTTTCTCTGGGCTGACTCACCTGTTGATGCTGGCAATATTTCCTGTCCCAAAAAACGCAGTCAAGATCAGAAATATCTACGTGAACGTTAAGAGAAAAATGTAGCGTCTAAATCCATGAGAAAGATAATACTATAAAACAAGCATAATATTCCCCCCCCTTTTCACACACCCACACACATACAACATGAATCCTCCCCCCCTCCCGTTGCCCTTTTACACACACACACACAAACAGTTTGAATCTCCCTCCTTCCCCCCACCCTTTCTTTTACACAAACAAACAATGAACAATGTAATAATAAATTAATAAGTAGCATTTTTATAAAAAATTGCATTTGTTTTACAATGTAAATAAACAACCCCCCCCCCCTCCCCCCAAGAAAGAAAAATGAAAAATGAAAACCAACAAAAGACACCTCCCCAAAAAACACGGCAAAAATCACAAACAACTTTCAATGAAAGCCACAAACAAAGGGCCCAACTAGATTCTCTACAAAAAAAGATACAAAATAGAAAGCCCTTCTGAGGTCCGACAGCTCCAAATGGCGGGAAAATGTGGCTGATGATATATCGTCTTTGATCAAGCCATCTTGTTTGAAGTCCACATTCTGAAACACCTGATGTGGAATAGAAGAAAAACACAGCTGTGTAAGATTAGTAGGAATACACATATCACTGTACACAGTAGTACTATATCAAACTCACTGACATTTTATGAGTAAAATGTACCACTGTTCTGTGGAGAACAATCTCCAATGAAGTCAAAGGGGAAAAAACCCCTGATTATTTCAGTATCAGGTTTAAAGCAACAATTAATTATACCCATTACTTAAGCTAAATTAATCATGTATGTTTGAAGTGAGAGACCAAGACAGAGTAAAAGCAGAGGACGGACGGAATGAGACAGAACAAAGGAAGGAGTAGGAAAAGCACATTGCTTTTCTATTATTATCAGGTAAGATAATTGCTTCCTTCGCTCATTTTTGGTTTTTGAAAGGTTGCTAATACAATAATTCATTTAATTTCATATTGTACATGGTTTTTTTTGGTCTCCAGTCATTATTTGGGTGCGGATATTTTGGTCTCCCTATCTGTCTGTCTTCTTTAAACATCATTTCTCTCTACCTTTCTTCCTCCTGCATCTTTTTTCTCTCTATCTATCTAAATCCCTCTGCCCGAAAGATTTTTTATTATTTTTTAAACCAAACTTATTAACGTTACATGCAATGGGAAAACAACATGTCAATCACTGTATCCCTACCTCATTCTTCCATACTTTATTCTCTTTAAATACTCTTTCTTTCTATATCTATGTCTCTCTCTTCCTCTGAACATCCTCTCCCCTTCTTCTTTTTCTCTCTATCTATCTATCCCTCTTTCTCTCTCTCTCTCTTTTCTATGTATGTGTGTGTGTATGTGTATGTGTGTGTGTATATGTGTATGTGTGTGTGTGTGTGTGTGTGCCTGTGTGTGTGTTTAATGTTAAATAAGTCCCAAACACTTCTTTCTTATCTCATCTTCCTTTGATGAAATCTCCCTCTTCTTCATTGTTCTTCCTCTATGCCCCTTGTCTCTTTATTTCTTTGTCCCTCTGTCTGTCTGTCTATCTGTCTGTCCATCAGTTTGTCAATATGGCATACAGGTTTATGGAACTGAATTGTTGAAATAAAAAAAGGAAAATGGAAACAACTAAGCCTTTCCAAAGACACCCTCCTGTCACAAGCTATCGTGTTGTTATTGTTGTAATCGATCCAGTGACAGATGGGCTCCCGCCCTTCTATCCATTGCCATGTAGAAATAAACTAACATGCTACATATGGCCAAAACAGGAAACTGTGTGAAAACAAAAGCAAAGAGGAGTAAAAAAGAAGAGCTGTGAGTTTGCCTTACTTAAACTCCAGTACCAGAAGGTGTTCTTATGCACCCATGAATATCAGTTAGATCTTTTAGGAGGTGGGCTTCCGACCCTACCTGGGCTGAGACCTGGGATACAATATCCCAGCAAAGAGACGGACATATTTGATAAAAATTTCTCCCCACTAAGGAAACAAACTAAGTCTTCCTATATGCCCCGGCAAAGTGACTAATCGCTACACCACAGACAACTGTTTTCTTAAACCCTTTGAGCAGCAAGTCTTAAAAAACTGATGAACAACGCTGCATTGTGAAGTGAACAAAAAGCTGAGTAAGCATTCTGTGTGTTTGAAACCAGTGCGCACTTAAATAATTACAGCCAGACATTCAATGTAAACTAAGTATTCACATTTTAGTGTGGGTGGGGCGAAATAGAAACAAAGCCATATATTCAAATTTAGTGCAGGGCAAAGCAGAAACAGAATCATATATTCATGGTTAGCGCAGGGGCAAAAGTTGAAACCTATTTCAAATGTCCTTTTACTGTCTCCCCCTGACGTCAAGTTACTGTAATCGATACTCTCATCAAACATACATCGCTATGCACATCCTCATGACTGATGCTCACACTAATTTGTAATTTTATGACCTGACGTAAAAGCCTGCTCTCCGCCTATTCAGACACAGATATCGTGTAGCTCTCTCTTAATTCTTAGAAGTTGGCACGTCGACAGACTAGATGCTGTACTATTGTTTTCTCTCATTCACCTGCTGGCCTGTACTGCAACTGCATCCTCAAACCGCTACCCTAGAATTACAAGTTCTATCTGCTCAGTACCAAGTTTTCAGAAATTTGACTAGAAAAGTTTTCAGTTTCACAACATGTCAAGCTTTTTCAAATGCAATTCCTCGAATCATGTTTTGTGAGCTACTACGAATAATCATATGATTTTGATAGAGCAGTTAGAACATTTCGTTTCTGACCTTATGGTTTTAGCAACTCAAAATGGCCAAAAATGTCTGATAGAACTTTGTAACTCAAAGGTAGTGATATATCAAATTTTCATTCTCTTCTGAACATTGTGGCAGGTAATGCATGCTCGTAGCTTGAAATCGATCTTTTAAATGCTGGAAACGCTAACATTTACTGTTTCAAACAAAACTTGCTATGACAAATCAGGCTATAAGCCTAAGACTTGTAAAAGTCATGCAAACATGTGGCTCTACACCCACGAGATCTTGTCTGTATTTTTCAAGACTTCAGCATAAATGTGGCTGGGCTACCTTTCATGCCTAATATGGCTATTCATAAAAAATTGTTTTGTAGCTCCCTTTAAAGTAGAGATGTGGCATCCATTCATAATATCTATTTTCAATTTTGAAAGATTTACGCACAATACCATTGTAATTATGTGTATTTCAGCTACTGATAAGATCATAGTTTTTCTCCTTTTTTCATCTTTGTCAGAAATTTGTACTCTTCGTATCATCTCTAATAATAGAAATTATTCTTATTATTTATTCAATGATTATTCACATAAATCACTTGAAAAACAACCCCCCTACCCCCCCCCCCCCCAAAAAAAAAAGCAACTTATGAAAAGTATCGTAATGCTAGCCCAAAAGAAACAAAAAAATTCCAACACATCAAGAGTCAAGCATCATTCCTAAAGTCTTACCAATGGCACCACCAAGAATTCTCCACAGCACCATCAGTTTCAGGACATACATACACATGTGCCCACATACATACCTGTCACATGTACACACATACATACCTGTCATATGTACACACATGTACACATACACATACATGTCACATGTACACACATACACAGCTGTCATATGTACACATATGTATACACACTCATACCTGTCACATGAATACACATTCATACCTGTCACAGGTACAGGCATACATACCTGTCATATGTACACATATTTATGTACACACACACATATCTGTCACATGTACACACATTCATACCTGTCACATGTACACACATGTATACGTATACACACACATACCTGTCACATGTACGTGCGTACATACCTGTCATATGTACACTCATGTACGTATACATACACACATACCTGTCACATGTACACACATACATACCTGTCATATGTACAAACATACATACCTGCCAAATGTACACACATGTCTACACACATACATACCTGTCACATGTACACACACACACACGTACCTGTCACATGAAACACATACATACCTGCCTCATGTACACATATGTATACACACAAACATACCTGTCACATGTACACACATACATACCTGTCACATGTACACACATGTATACACACACACATACCAGTCACATGTACACACACACACGTACCTGTCACATGAAACACATACACACATGTCAAATGTACACATACACACACGTACCTGTCGCCTGGCAACAAGGGACTCTGTGTGCTCCATCTGTAACCAGAAGTACAAAAGAGCCAGGAGAGACAGGATGAACATACCCTCGTATCTGATAGGACGGTTAAGACAACAAGTAACGACAGTCATCTCAGCTCTAACGGCCACCAGTTTGAAACAGTTACCTGTACAAAACAACCACTTCCCATCCCCCCTCCCCCCCCCCCCCCCCCTGTGATTTTTAAAACATGTTAATGACACTGTGTACGACATCCACCTTCTAAGATGGCCACTTTTCTTCTCAACTATGTTGTGGCCGCCTTAGACAATTATTATTGTAGTTTCACAGCTCTTTCCCAATAAAGAGGTCCAGTTTTCGACAGGTAACATCTTTTTAAAAACAAAAATAGTAGAGGGTTTTACGGCGCTCGTAACTGCATAAGGTCATATGAGCACCAAGGGGTGGGTGTCAACAGAGAAGTCTTTACAGGGAATCAGACTTATTCTGCTCACCTCTCTAGCTTCAACAGCACAAGGTCTGCTTCGACTATCAAGGTACCCTGGAAATAGCAGGTCACAAGAGAGTGACAAACATGCAAAAGAAGAAGAGGAAAAATGACAATAGTAAGGATTAGAAAAGAAAAAGCAGCAGTTCCCTGTTGTAGATCAGACACAGTTATGAGGGTGACATGAATGAGCCCATTTACAATTCTACTGTGCTTAAATGAGAAATGCCCAACCTTTGGGAATGGCCTAGAGACACTACAGTCAGTCTGCCGTCGTAAGGGAAAACGACGAAAGGTCCAAATTTTTCGATTTTTGTATTTTTACATATTTCATAGAGTATTTAATTCTGCATCTGATGGTGTTAAAATTTTAGTCATATCCTAATCCGTTGTTGCATAATTGAGAGTTCGTCGTTTTCCCTTACACCGGTCAAGGATCACTGCTCGTTCGGCATTGTCCCCTGGTCTCTGCCGTTGGGCAAATTCGGCATGGGCGACGAATGACAATTGGTCACTGTTGCGTCAGTACAAACATACTAGGTTTTTAGCAAACAAATACACTACCACCCCCTCCCCCGGAGTACCGTCGACCAGGTTTATAAGAATGTATAACTTAGTGTGTCTTGTTGTCTGTCTTCACGTATTAGGCCTAGGCTGATGTGTGAATTGACAAGAGCAAGCGGGAGAGAGGGGAAAATGGATGGGAACAGGGGGAAAGGGGTGGAGATGGGAGGGTCAAAAAAGTATTCAGAGAGAAATTTATTAGCACTGCATATTAGTGTCCGCCAGATGTTCACAGACTAACATCATGTTAGTTTGCTGTCCAGTCATTTGACATCCCAAATCCCAACGATGGTTATAGTGCCGCAATTTGTCTAGCACGTGTCACTGGTCGGCATCTTTATAGAATTACCAAGCAATTAATGACACTGCGTTATGAGAGTAAATTTCTTTGTCCAACTTAAAAAGTGGACGTATTGTGGTGACACTTAGTCTTGCTTTACGATTTTTTTAAAGACTTGACGGACGTTACGATCGAGTACAATAATGTCTTGCAGATTCAAACTGTCCTTGTAGATCTCTACTTTGTGGTATGTTTTCCGATCCGATCAACTGAATCCTTTATTAAATACAAAGCGTCGCATTACCTCTCCCAAAAGCGCTTGTGATACAGTCTTGTCAGATTGTTACATTTCTTACGTGAAAGTTTGACTTTGCAATTATCTGATCGTATTATTGACATTGTAACATTGTTGATCCCTTTGGTTGTGCAGAGAAAATTTGGCAATTAGCGAAAATAAAAGTAAAACTCGCTTCTGAAGAGAATACTATAAAGCGATATCATGGAGACCAAACTTTGGTTCCGAATGAGACGGTTTTAAATCAAGCTGTTGAAAATGTGTACACATCTGATTTGTACACTGACTGTGTAGTATTTAGCCAAGCGAGGAAGGGAAAAAAAGGACGTTTACCGAGTTACAGTTGATATCTAACAAACACCTAACTTTATACGTATAATAGCTAGTTTGTATACGTCTTATTTTTTATTTGTAGTAACCAGTACACGATCATTACTGTCAATAATGCGTCACAACTGACCATCGCCTACGCCCATAAACGTTCACGAGTGTAAAGGAGAACGACGAACCGTACCATTCGTCGTTTTCGCGTACATCGCAAGGCTCACCTGCGGGCGCGCAGTGTAAGGGAGAACGACGAATGTCGAATAACTTTGCTACTTTTTAACCTAAGCCATTCAAACTTTAGAAACTGCTTTATGAACACCTCAATCAGATAATTGGTGAATTACAGCTTAAAAGAGTGAAAAATAGAAGAGTTATAAAGTGAAAACTGTTTTTGCCTCTCCTGAAAAATTTGCCTCGCTACCTGCGCAGGACCATTCGTCGTTTTCCATTACGACGGCAGCAGTGGCATTACCCCTGAAGGCAGGTAACATCTGTGTACAAAATTGTCCAGAAACATGACATAATGGCAGGCTTCAGTTTGGTGAGTACAACACGTATGATCAACTCTCGACAAAGCCTCTTGCATTGTGTAGACCGAACTCGGTATATGTGATCACTAGACTTCTGAATGATCTCACTTTGGCAAAGGTATTTACTATAAAAAAAAAATAATAACCTCTCGAGTGGGGAGGAATTTTTATCATGTATCTCGGCCTTTCTGCTGGGATGTTGCATCCCTCTTAACCCAGGCTGGCCCTAACAAGTATGGTCAGAAGCCCACCTCCTAAATGATCAAAATTGTATTGATGGAGGTGAAAAAAAAAAATGGATTAAAAAAAAATACTTAAGTGGGTAACACAGGTTTTTAAAAATCCCTACAAATATTTCTCATACAGACAAAATGTCAAGGATACGTTATACTGAGCAGGATATATGGGGCTAGGAGGGCGGCAGACAGAGAGAGCAGACGATCACGCAGACATGTGGGGCTGAACAGGGCCACAGGTAGGCAGCAACCTGGATGGAATGAATGTAGAAATAGATGAAAGCATGAATGAATAAATAATAATAAGTGAAAGTATATACGGCCTGATCCCTAGAAGGCTTTGTTTAAGTAGAGGTTTTACGGTGCTCGCAACTGCATATGGTCATATGAGCCCCAAGGGGTGGATGTCAACACAGAAGTCCTTACAGTGAATCAGGCTTACTCTGTTCACCTCTCTAGCTTCAACAACACAAAGTCTGCTTCCACTATCAAGGCACCCAGGAAACAGTGGGTCACAAGTGTGTGACAAACAAACAAAAGAAGTAGAGGAAAAAATGACAATAGTAAAGATTAGGAAAAAAAAGCAGCAGTTCCCTGTTGCAGTTCAGGCACAGTTATGAGCATGACATTGATGAATCAGCCCATTTACAATTACAATTCTACTGTGCATAAGAACATAGTTAATGTCCCGCTTTTGGGAATGGCCTTAAAGACACTTCAGTCAGTGGCACCGCCCCGGGGGGTGTTGAAAATTTCAAGTGCTATATAACATAGAATTATCGCTCCACATAACTGACAAATCAAAAGACAAAACCCACATCAAAGACACCATTTAACAACACACACATGAAAGAATAAATGAAAGCATGAAAAAAAGACGGAAAGGAAGGTAGCATTCATAAATGAATGAATAAATAAAATAATGAATAAAAAAAACAACAACCTTTTGACCCTGGAACTATGCTAATAAATAAGGGGGCTGAGCAGTGACCATACATATCTCATTCACATTCATCGCCCCTTGCTGAGAATAAACAAACTATCAAGCACCATTATTGTCACTGACTCACAAAGTCACATACAGACAACATGATAATTAAGGTTCCATATCCCTTCCAATCAAAGGATCAAATGACATCACTGTGATTTATATCTAAAAGCCAATAAATGTTTTACATAATCTGTGAAAAAACCCACAAAAACAATACCCATTTGCTTATGTAATACCTGCCATAACCAGGCTGCTATATGAACACTCTCAGTTCATTACAGGCAACAAGGTCAAGGTCATTTCAGAAGTTAGATAAGGTCAAGCCCAATGGGGTCAACAAAGACCCACCATGATAACAGTTAATATTTATTGCCGTAACATTATGCAGTAGAAAGTTGTTCTCCGTATTACATTATTAAAATGTTTTCCCTCTCATTCAAATTTTAAAAAAATCTATTTTATCAAAGTAGATGTTTTTATGTCCTCATCAAGACAATTTAGATCATTTAGCAGACGGGCTTCCAACCCTGTCTGTCAGGGCGGGCCGACCCACAAGGAGCAAACCACACCAGAGCACCCGCCAAGCAGTCACACAGGACAGGCATCTGTGGTGTAGTAGTTAGGCACTTCACTGTTGCACCCAAGAGACCAGAGTTTGAGTACCGAGTGGGGAGAACATTTTTATTGAGTATCTCTGTCTTTCTGCTGGGATGCTGTATCTCTCTCAACCTGACAGGCAGCGTCAGAAGCCTGCCTCCTACATGATCTAAATTGTATCATGTAGGGGGGTACATAGACCTGCCACTCTATGAAATCTAAAAATCAGGATCTCAGAGGGAAACAATTGGGATTTGGTGAGAAAAAAATAGGGATAAACGACAAATCACCAAGGCAACTGCCAAGCTAACTAAAAATGTTCCTGGGGTTTCCATAAATATTTCCATGTATATGCTGTGTGTGTGTGTGTGTGTGTGTGTGTGTGTGTGTGTGTGTGTGTGTGTGTGTGTGTGTGTGTGTGTGTGTGTGTGCATGCGTGTGTGTGTGTGTGTTTCATCATAAAAGTATTCTTTTAAAATCCTGAAGTATCATGTCAAGCACTCCCAATCCAAGTGTCTAACATTACACCGCCCCACCCCCCAAAGTCCCAATAGACGCTTCAACCAGTGCGTATAAACCTTACTTATCCCCATCAACAGACGGTCCCTGACAAAACGCAGAGCTCATGCGCCGAAGTCATGTCATGTGATGCGAACGAGTGATTGGAATGGTTTAACTGACGGGTCTTGATGACTGGCCTGACTAACCAGAACTCAGACAGAGCTTGCTTTGAAAGTAACAGTAGAACTACGAATAATCATTTGCATGTCGCAATTGAAAAAGGAGAGGCCATCATGGGGAATTCTGAGTGGAAATAAAAAGTAAAGTAGATCTTGACAATGTGCTGTGTCCTCCATTTCGGAACTTCACTGTGACATTAAAGATGGTTCAAGTAGGAAACAGGATAGAGGGTGCCCACGTGCCTTGTGACTCATTGGAGCAGAGGAAGATAGGACTAATGCTAACATTAGGCTACTTAAACGCAATCCCACATCATCACTCATCACCACCATTATATCTAAAATAATTACTGTTCTCAGATCAATGACTTACATCTATAATCCTAGAAACTCTATCTGCTATTACAGTTACTTGTTATACTAAGTATGCACATAATACACTATTGGACACTATTATATGCACTTTTTTTTCTACTTATCAAATGGCGTCAATCTCATATAAATGGGCAAGGGAAAAAAAAAGGATTTTGAGAATGTCCCTAGTCGGAATGCCAAATTGATGCTATTTCAATAATAGTTAGAAACACGTGCAAGCAAAGTTCCAACACAACTTGGGGTGAGTCAACTATTAAATCCAGCATCGACATTTAGGAAAATTATATAGTGCTCCAAGTTCCTGGCAACAGAGAAGAAGGGAGTGAAGTTTTTGGACAAATCCTGAGAAACAAACAACAAAAAATGTGGATCGAAATCAGGAAAATTGGTATGTTTGAGATTTGGGGCGAAAAATCGGGATATCCCGATTAAATCGGGATGACAGGCAGGTCTGGGTACACCAACATTCAAAAACATAAAACAAAAAAACAACATGGAAGTGTGCGGTCTGGTGACCTCTGACCCTGTGAAGATGCTACTCACCCAGCACCAACCAGCTACAGAGCTGACAGAACCAGGGCAGTCCCTGCCTGTCAGCGATACTCTCAGATGTCAGCTTGACCGTCAGGACTGACACAGCTATCAGCATCAGCTGTAAGGAAAAGTAAGTGTATGGGTTTAATGCCCTTATCAACATTGTTAGGTTATTCAACAGGCAGAACCTATGGATTTAAAGTCTGCCTCCGATAGGACCAAGCCAAATGGGTTAAGAGCTTTGAAAACTCCACAAAATGACCCAAATTCAAGAATGCCCAGTCTGGGATTTGAACCAGGGCCATCGACTTCTTAGCCTAGCTCACCAAATTCCTGCGTCGACTGTGTGGAGTGAGGATGTTGGGAGATAAAACCCAGTGATCATTTAACAGCTGTTAAAGGCTTTTTACTAGTCTTTTCGGCATACTTAAGTTTTGCATTCGTTTTATTGGGTGAAGTGAGGGGACACTTCTATATGGAACTACGCTAAAGTAAAACTTTTTTTCCTGCTTTTTTTTTATCTTGAAGCATAATAATCACTAGAAGATTAACATGTTTCTATGTAACACACAAATATCTGGCACCAAATCAAGACATGGGACAAATAGTAGGAACTCAAAAGATGACAATGACACTGACAATGACAATCTTTATTCATCTCTCAGGGGGAAATTTGTCTTGGTCGTTTACAAAGGCAGTGAATGTTACAAAGGTTAGGTGCACTCACACATACACACAACAAGACTGGATATTAGTAAATACATGTCTTACGTGCTGAAACAACCCTCTCCATAAAACATTCTCTCTCTCTCTCTTTGTTTCATTTGCAGCAACTGTGTGTTCAGTAACCTCACTGCAGTTGGTACGAATGAATTTCTATATGTCTGTTTTTGTTTTTAGGAAAATATATCGTTTACTACAGGTCAACAATTAAAATTCCGATGCCAGTGGGTAGCTATGGTCACTTTTGTTTATTTTTTTTTATGCCACAACACCAGTCATAAGTTAACACAAACACAACTAAATAAAGCATGATAAAATGAAACAAAGTCAGTGAGGTACACGTGTACACCCTACAATCAAGAAACAGAACCTTCCGAGATAGAGGCCCCAAACAAGCTTTTAAGATACTTTGAAAGTGAACGATAGAATCATCTATTTATCTAAATTTGTCAAGTAACTGCGCATCTCCTTTTAAAAAATGTGCCATCCATGTCAAAAATTGACACTTTAATGCATTTCACAAGAGTGTTTTTAAAAATTGCCTAACAAAACCAATCTCAAAGGGGACTCACCTGGAAACCACAGAGAATCTTGAAATGTCTTGAAAATGACACCCTGTATTTCAATTGAGAAAACAAAAACAAAAAATTGAAAAACCAAACTATGAAATTTGAAAAAAAATACCCCAAACACCAATAACCAGAAAAAAATAGCTGTCCAGGAAAATGAAATAAAATTGGCAACCAACCAATCCTATAACTGACATCTTCTTCTCAGATAAACCCACACATGGGAACCGAACTACCTCCTCCCAGACAAACATACACCAGGTAAACACACCACCTCTTCAAAATAATAAACAGCATTTGTATAGCGCATATCCCCACCCAACACAGAGCTCTATACATTTTGCAATCTATAGGCCTACTATTATCTCACCAGACCCTTGAACACCCAGAAACAGTCTCGGCTTCCCGGGAAGCTAACAGTGCAAGCAACCGATTAAGTACTCAAACACTAAAAAACTGACAAGATCTTTTACAGTCTATGAGAATCTTCCCAGAAACCTCCCCCCCCCCTGCCCTTCACACACACACCCAAGAGAATCAGACTACCTCTTCCCATATAAATATACACATAGAAATATCAGATTACCTGTAAAGGATTAGAGCACCAATAAACACAGCAAGGAGACCACTGGATGTCCTGTAATGAAACAGTAAGTGTGTGAGGAAACGAAGAAAAAAAATAATAAAAAAATAAATCAATCAAATATTAATAAAGCACTTCTATTGATCCCCAAAGGGAAATTGGTTTATTATGGCATACCATATTCTATACATACACAAATAGGATTCATAGATACATGCATACCATCATGTACACACTGAATTTCTTTTACTGGATGTTAGTAGTTAAACAAAAACAAAGCAAAAACACTTACACCAACGCATATCTCGTCTCCCTTCCGACCACAGGCATCAAAGGGAACATTCCCACCAGCGTGCATGTGAGAGACCAGCCGACAGCAATCCAGGGCCGCCCCATGACCCTTCCTTGACCTCTGGACTGGATGATGGGCCACAGGGACATGGCTAGTAGACCCACAGAGAGCAGCTGTCTGTAATAGAAGCTCAGGACCTGAGGACAAAACACACTCAAGTCTGTACGGTTTACCGAGGGGATTTTGTTTCCCACACGCAACTTGAATTTGCCACTCTTAACAGAAATTTGCAGATTCAAGTCATTCGCAGGACGTCAAAGGGGCGCTACTGAATTGCTACATAGGACACTGGACGACCCAAATTGAGAATTCAAAATGTTTGCAAAACACAAAATGGGCAAAATGAAAGAAAAAAAAGCACGTAAAAAAAAGAGTGCATCAGCACTCTCATGTTCATGATGTAATGTGTATATTGTAATTGATTGAGCTGTGACAGTATGGGTGTCAGATTCTATGTTAGCATTAATCTAAAGAAAGTATGTTTTGTCTATGCTAATGCTGAATCTTTTTACATTAATGTACTGCAATATCCATCCAAAATTTCTCCCATTGATCAATAAAACGTATTTTACCTTATCTTACCCATCACCATGTTCCCTTTAAGATGACATGAGCTTTTACAATATTGACCACTGCTTACTAACTTTTTTAAGTGCCAGCATTCACTCTTGCCACCTTCAAGAGGCTAAAATTGTTGTTTCCCCTACCTATATGTATTTCCTAAAAGGGCATCAAGTGACACCTGTCACTAGTTGGTTGATCCCCACCACCCACTATAATTACCAAACTTTTCCACTTGTGGGCAATATCGCCCAGGTTGGCAAGCACTGATAAAGAAGTGGAAGAAAAACACTCACTATTATCTCCAGACCAGCAGCACTGACGACGACTGACAAGACAAAACGTCCCAACTGTCTGTTTGCCAGCGTCCATCGCACAGTGTACTGTAGCAGTCGCAGGCTGGGAAGTGAAGAGAGAAACAGAACAACTGAAACAATTACAATAGCTCATTGAAGGTGTAAACTGTCCCTTTTCAACACAGCTAACTTTGTTTGTTGAAGGATTGGGGGGGGGGGGGGGGGGGAGTCTTAGTAAGAGTTTAACGGCAACACAGATTTGTCATATAAGTGCCCAAGATGAGAAGGAGGAGAGTTTAGTTTTAGTAAAAGTTTTACAGCACTTGCAACACAATTAGGTCATATTAGTGCCAAATAATAGATTATGTGTTACAAGAGAGTAGCATATATAAAACAGAAGGAGGAAAGATAAGGACGATAGAAGTTTGATAGGAAAGAAGGAGAAAAGCACACTAGAGCACCCATCGACCACCCACCAGGAAAGTAACCACAAGAACAAAACAAATTCAAGAAAAGCCTATGGCAGGTATACATCATCCCTTTTATACACAGCAGGCTTTGTTTCTAAGAGGCACGACATCCAAACAATGAAATAAGTGTTTTAAAATGTGAGGCATGGTGGCGAAATCAGGCGCTTGTCAAAATAAAGAACTCCAAGAAACACATATTTTCGCCCAATTTCTGCCGCCTTCTAAATGATCTTGCTTGTGTTAATGGGGACGTTAACACTTACATAAAAAAATGAATATGACCAGGGTCCCTACCAAATCCTTGAAATTTTTTTCAAGACCTCAATTTGAGGGAAAAATAAGGCCGTCGTGCATCAAGAATGATCCCCCAAAAATCCCTTCTATCAGTGATAAAAAGTCAAAATTTCTTTTAATGAATGTACACGTACATTTTGTAGTATAGTCTTCAAACAATAGATGATTATAATAGCTTATTTCACTTAACAAAGATAATTCATCTCTATATTCCTTGCCAACAGTTGATTCAATTTTGTTTCTTCTTCATGATTCATCAACCATACTGTCTAGATAGCTACACTACTATTACACAGGCCCTATCCTTTCTCAACTTCCCGACCCTTCACAAAATCCCCGACTTTTTCCTGATTTCCCGACCTGGTGGGAACCCTGTATGACAGAGGTGTTCTCTTACCCTTGGCAGGCCTTGTACCACAACAACACAGGCATGAGGCAGTAAACGTAGCACATCATGTGGAGAGATTGCACTGAGGACCGCAAACCAAATACAGACAATTGTTTGAGTGTTTCCACTTTATAAAAGAAGTTTTAGAACATGATGCACAAGTCTGGCATAATTTGTTTAACTTGACAGTTTCCAACGGTGTGGAGAAAAATGGTAAACACCTGGAGCATACATTTAAATAACCGTCCCCTTCTCTGAGTATATTTGGTAAAGTCAGTTCTATATACATTTGTTCTTTAATACACAAATGCGCATCATAGTTGATTTTTTAGAAGTTTAAAAAGTTTTATGTTTTGCAGAATTTTGGTGGACATTTTTAACATTCAATTCAAAATTAAAACTTCTATCTAAATTTAAGAGAATTTCCAAGGCCAGGCAGTCACCCAGATAATCTTAGTTTCTCTTCCAATCAGTGAGACGGGCCACATCAGTTTACTAACAAAGAACTCACCTGCCAACAAAATACAGATGATGAGAGCCATGGAGCCAAACAGAAGAAGTCTAGTGTGTCCCTCCGAGTGACCAGCGGTTATCCTGGCGCTGGCCTGACCCACAGCAGTGTGCTCGAGAACCACCAGGTACAGCACGTAGCACACCCAGCCCAGGAACCCGAAGACCACGCTGATGCTGAGGGTGGTGTAATATAAAGGGGGGAGTTGGGAGTTTGAGTTTGAGTTCTTTGGGGGGGGGGGGGGGGGGGGGGGGGTCGTAAGTTTTACGGTACTTACAATACAAAAAGGTCATATAAGTGCCGAAGAATAGATGTGCTACAAAAGAGTAAAAAGAAGGAGAGATAAGGACAATAGGTGTTTGATAGGAAAGAAGGAACAAATCACACCAGAACACCCACCAACCACCCAGTAAGTTTGAGTATGAGTAAAGCGAAGCGTAACAAAATAAAATGAGGAAAAATACAACACCAGACCATTGTGAAAGAGGCGTTTGAAGGAAGGATGTGGGGCAGGAGAGCCAGGGGTAGACAAAGAGTTACATGGAAGGACAACATTAAGACATGGCCTGGCCTGGGTATAGCAGAAAGTGCAACGGCAGCTCACGGCTGTGAAAGATAGAAGGTCATTACACGTCAACCTCTGAGTCAGAGATGGCACCTCCAGGTATACCAGGCAAAGAAAAGTACATCGGTACAATAACTGTCATATGGTGCAGGGAAGAAAAAAGATAGATAAACAGAAACAACAGAGGGAAAGAAAAGAAGAAGGACTCGAGAAAAAAAAAGGTTTGCCTGTTGAAGATAGAGACAAGTATAGTAACACAGAGTGTGATTCTTTGAATGTTACTCTCTAGTAACACCCATATTCTTCAGCACTAACACAACCTATTTGTGTTGCTAGTACTGTAAAACTCTAACAAAAACGTTCAAAACTATAACTGTGAAGAGGATAACTGGAGAGAGTGACACTTACAAAATGACCATGAACTCTTGACTTCATATCAGAAAAGCTGCTTCTTAGAGGTAGAGTAGAGGCAGTAGTCCGTGCTACCCTAAGCTTATAAAATCACCTTCCCTGGTGAGAGGGGAGGTAACCCATCAGTAACTGATGAGAAGCAAATTTCGTCTGCTATCGTCGGCCCAGCGTGCTATGCCTGCTTCGTTTGCCCTCCTCCCCTCAGTAGTGGTATTTGTGAGGCAAAGTGAGGACGGGTGTGCGTGACAAACAGCGGGGATGCCCGTTCCTGCTGGAGGGTGACGCATTTTATGGAGGGGCGGTGTGCTAGGATAGACCGGGTCTTGCAACATGCCCAAATAACTTCTTATTATAGCATGTCTAAATTTGTTCATACCACAGGGTGGTCACGCTGATCCCCCTGTCGCACAACCCCGTCGCTACTCTAAAACCTGGCGGAAAATTATTTTAACAAGCTGCTTACCCGAGAAATACGCGGTCGTATGTCTGGTAGTAGCGAAGTCCTTGCAAAGCTTTGTCAATCAGAAGATGAGTCTCTGACACCTGGACAGGAAAATCAAAAGTAAACAATCAGTATCATCATCATAAAATCAGCAATCACGGTTTGCCATTCATTTCTCCACTAGGATGCTCTCAAAACTCCCACATTATCCTGGTGTTTTCCCATCATGCATCTGTTAAGGCTTTCCAAATGACAACTTTCTCTAGGTCTGCCCCTGCCTGGTATGCCTTCTATTTTTCCAGAGAGAGCAATATCAATATAAACAGACAAAAACCAGTGACGGACAATCATCAAAGTTAGGTAAACATCCAGCATCATAAACATCATTTCAAAATGCTCTTTAGTGTTCTTGTTTCAGATACGTCACAGGCTACTTGATTGTGAAAATTGGACAACGTAATACGTGCAACAATGTGGTGGAATCAGGCGCTCATCAATTTTGGGACGTATGGAGTTATTGGTATCATATTAAAGCTTGTTCACTAGTCTTGCTTTTGATGGAAATTACCAATCTATCTTGAAATGAAGTCGAGATATCTGTGATTGAAGGAGGTTGGGGTCATAAGGTGTCAGAGATAAATTTGAATGAAAATGGCCGCCAAAGTTTGGTGACTTCCATAGCGAGGGAGTCCTTTGAAACTGCAATTTTGCATTTTTTGTGCCTTTGATAAATGTTTTTTTTTTTTTGTAGAATTCACATACAAATATGGACAAAAAAGTATTGGACGAAAAACACAAGTAGGCGACAAAAAATTTCTCGTGTGGAGAAATCCCGGTTTCTTTGTTTTCTTTATTTTGACTCGTGCCTGATTTCACCTCAACGCTGCATTTATTTTAAACAGAGACTACTGAACAGATATCAGAATGCACCCTCCACAAGGCCACAGATTTTGCTTCTAAACTGTGAGAGCTGGTTGTACAATGTAAAACCCACTCATTTTTCTCCATACCGACCTCTGTGGAAGGAAAGACTTTCAAAGCACACGATAACGTTACAATTTCATTTTTGCTCTTTTATCAAACTAACTTTTTGGAGCTTCTTTTCTTTCTTATCATGTTAACTTGTCTCAAGCACTTTATCTTTTTATTTCACAAATTTGTCTAAAGCACTTACTGCATCTTCATACTGTCCTCCATGGATGAGCTTCCGTATGTGCTTCAAACTTTGGAGCTGGAAAACAAAACAAAACAAAACCTTGACTTTAGTCCCAGGGGCAACACAAGAACACAACCACAATAAAAGATTAGTATTAGAGTTGGGTCGGGCTCGCTAAATCAGTGTCAGGGAGTAACGAAGTACTCGCTGGCACTACCTGCAAACGAGCGGGCGGGTAATGAGCCGTCTGCATGTGAATAGTTCGCTACTCGCTACACATCGGACTGAAACAAAGTTCATTTAACGAGCGAGCGGACGGGCGGATGGAGAGACTCCATGCATTTGAGCCGGCGGACGGATGGACGGACGGGGAGCGAGTCCTTCCATTGCATACTACTTACACCCCTACCCCTTCCCCCGTAAAAAAATGACCCTCCTGCCCAACATTGTAGCTAGGTGTTCATGGCAGAAATTTATCTACCCCCCCAAAGGCCTTTGGGAATTCTTTTAAACTTCGCCTTCACAATAATTGGAATGTTCAAAGTGTGCCCACATACAAGGTGAAAGGTTACACTCATAGTATTACGTCACCAACCTCTCTCACTCCATGTGGTACCGCTGGGGGCTTGAAACACTAGGCCTAATTAACAAACAATAGACGAGGGTCTAACCTCGTTTTGAGAATCTTGTCTGCTAGAGTTCGTCTGTTCGCCCCCCCGCTCAGTGAATAAAATTGTGGAGCGGACCCAAGAAACGAACTGACTTGAGGCTTGAGGTCCACAGTCCCCTCGCTGAGAGAGTAAAATTGTAGAGCGGACCCAAAAAACAAACTGTCTTGAGGTTCGCAGTCCGCTTGCATGGGAGTCCGTTACCCGCTCGCTCAGACTGAGTCCGTGAGTAGTGAACCCGTCCGTCCGCTCGCCCCAACTCTAATTAGTACCATTATTAAGGAAAGATGGCAAGATGTGTGGTAAAAGGGTTAAGGGTGAACAGTAAACAATGTGGATAGATAATATCTTAGTTTAGCTCAGGACATCAGATGTTTGACGCGAAAAAAGGAGCAAATCACATCAGAGCACCTGCCAACCACCCACCTGGTAACATCAAGGCATGGACTGGCATAAGTATGACAGAGTGTATGACAGCAGCAAGTGACAGTAAGCAATGGTGGGTCATTACACGTCAACCTCTGAGCCAGAGACGATACCTCCAGGTGTTCAGGTACAGTAAGAATCCAGTAACTCGCAAGGTTCAAAGTTCACAAAACAATTCAGACAGCGTTAGTACAAGCCATTCATAGAACTACAGCACTTTTCTGTCTAAATAAGCAGAGCCTACCAGCGTCCTTGCCCTTGCGGTTAAGTGCTTTGCTGTCCCACCCAGGAGACCCCAGTTTGATTCCTTGGAGGTGAGAAAATTTTGTATAGAGTAGCAGGTTGGACTTGACAGACAGGCCTCCTAAATGACATAAATTGTGTCAATGGGTGCGTAAAAACATCTATTATAAAAAAAAAAAAAGTTCAAGCACAGCCTTCTGGTAAAGTACATCACAAGTTTGTAAAAACTGTACATTTGCCTCCAGCATCAAGGAGAAATTCCTACAAGAATTTACAAAATCTTCCTGTACCGGTACAACTCGTCCAGCTCCATTTTTAAGTGACTTTTACTTCTTTACTTTTTCATCCTCTGTTGTCGCTGAGGGTCAATGGGGGATGCATTTTCTTTGGTAAGCAGCTTTTTCAATTAAGATGTTTTTTCTCAGGGTTATTCAATGATAGCAAAAGTCCTACAACATCAACATCTGTATTTTCAACTTATTTAATGTCTTTTATTTACAGCTACACATACCTTCTCAGCCTCAATCAGTTCCCTGAAACAGAAATTCAAATAAAATATATCATAAAAATGATAAAATCAGAAAAAAGGTTCTAAAACTGATCGTTTGAAAAAGAAAGTAAAATAAACAGGAGGACTGAGAAACAAATATGACGCAGAAATATAACCTTCTCATACATCAAAACATACTCTGCACTACACATGTTATACATAACACCGGGACTACCTATTAACTCATTCGCAACGTATTATTTTCGGCTTGCGGACGAATTTTTTTCGGGAGGGCGAAATGAGATGATGAATAGTGCACAGTTCAAAGGTCTTTGGGGCCACAAATTCAAATAAATATCAACATATTAAATACCAAATTTTTCAGTATGGTTTGTAGAATACATCTGTAATATTTATTTGTGTATTTTTCAACTTTGGTTCCTGTAAGAGGCGATTATGCAACACAATTTTGCCTGGATGCATATAAAATTTGAAAATAAAAAACAAATAATCTTTGTTGAAACTCAAAAAATAAGTTTGCATCTTGTCAAATGATACATCAAAATAATAGTAAATGAATATAGAATTGGAAAATATTGAAAAATTTGCAGTTATTTGCTTACATTCCATAAATGTGTACATTTGGATCATAACATCCGATATTGAAAAAGAAATTTTTAAAAATTTTATAATCTTGAAAAAAGGACAAGATGCATTCACAAACAGAAAAAAACACTCGTATCTTATATGGAATTATTCAGAATTGCATTTGGAATAAACCTATACATGTCTTGAGTTGTACTTTTTGTGTAATTTCACCAAAAAGTAGTGATTTTGTGGAGAAAAAAATATTTTGACAATTTAGATCTAGACCTAGATCTAGCACTCAAAAATGTTGATTTATCAATAACAGTGCACTGGCAATATGAGTCTAATAGTATCAATATTATAAAGAAGAGTCCTACATTTCTTTAGTGAGAAAAATAATTATACATTTTGTTGTGTAAAAGTACCAAGACTGGTGTTTGGGCTATAATTTGGGCTTCGCCATAAAACAAAGTCGCATAAACTACGAAATCGCGTTTCAAAAATGAATCTAAACTTCCGATTTTCGGTGGAAACGCTTGAACTGGACGTCAATGTTATATTATAACCTTTATTTTAACATGGATATGTGAATTGGAATAAAATCTAAGCTAGAATTATAGGTCGGTGCTTGAGCCGCCGGGGGCGGCTTAGCATACTGACGGCACTTTAGCCGCGCCGCCCCCCACGGCTCAGCGTAGCGAATGAGTTAAGTAAAAAAATAGCAATAGTTATATAAGTTTAAAAGCAAACTCAGGCAGTACAGCGCTAATGCTTCAAATTTCACCATCTATTTGAAATTTGTTTCACCCTCTGTAATAATGGCATCCTTGTCCCCCACCCTGCAAAAAGAAAATCAATTTTTTCAAATTATCAAAACAAGTCAAAAATTTTGTTTGCACTCACTGAAATGGCCTGAACGTTGCAGCGATGGTGCGATCTTTGATCTGATCCATCTTCACCTACACAACAACAAAGGGAGGAAATTGAAGACAAAATTAGACTGGTGTGTCAAAAGTACAGTCGGACCTGTCCAAAGCAACTACCCATTCTGGAGTACAAAGTGGTAATCCTTGACAGGTGGTCTTCTTGGACAGTGTCATTATAAAATAAAAAATAAAAAAACGCGAGGGAGGAAGTGGAAAGTGGTTGTTTGAACAGGGGATCGGACAGGCGGCTGTTAGAGCAGGTTTGATTGTTATATATATATAATTTTTTTTATTGTCAGAAAATCAGTGAGGTTAGTTTTCTAGAAACAGACGATCACTGAGATATACAGGCTTCAACATAAGTTAAGGACCACTTGCAAACACCTTGAGTGTTTTTCTCGGGTCGACCTGCACATGGGCGTTCTTGGACTGATCCAGTGGCTTGATGGCGCTGCCTCAAGCGGACAATGACAGAGTGTGACACCGCAAGCCTTCTGGCAACTTCTCGGGCTCCAACTCCATCCAGCAGCCATGCCATAGCCGTGACACGACCAAAGTCTCTCAGCTTTCGTCTTGGTGGAATGTTGATGCGATTCTGGATTTTGCGCAAACAGCGGCTTATATTGCCACCGAAGTGAGCACAGTTCGAGACCGTACCTCCGTTTATGACGAGCACCAGAAATTTTAACTGGGGAATGTCCGTGGTGTCGCACACAAGTCGATAATAAACAGCAAATTTGGCTAAAATTCCTCAAGGTGGTTTTGCCACTTTAGGAAGCTTTGTAATACGCACTGGTAACCCATTAACACTTTCAAAGCAAAATAAATTGAAACATACCCTAAAGTATTTTTTCGGATTTAAAAAAAATCAGGGCTGTCCGTCAAAGTGGTCCTTAACTTATGTTGAGGTCTGTATATGAACCTAACTTCACGTGCACATACACACATTTGTATCACGCAAGGTGGGATCAGGCACTCGTCAATTTTTGGGTATATGGGTTAATTGATATCATCTTTAAGCCTGTTCATTTGTCTTCCTTTTGGTTAAAAAACATCCATCTATGTTGAATAAAAGTTGAAATATTTTCGATTGAGTGAGTCAGGGTCGCCTGGTTTCAGAGGTAAAATTAGCGAGAAAATGGCCATCAAATTCTGTTCATTTCTAAATCCTGAGAGTCCATAGAAACTGGAAATGTACATTTTGTGTGCCTTTAATCAATGTTTTTTTTCAGTAAAATCCACAGAGAAATGTGTTTTTAAAAGGACAAAAAAGGTGTTGAGCCAAAAAAATTAAATTCTGAAATTCGGCACTTGCAAAACACAGACCGGTCACTTTAATGCCAAAGATTAGAGGTATTACAACTAGAGAGTAACATACAAATAAAAGGAGAAAGACTATAGATGTTTGATAGGAAAGAAGAGCAAACCACACCAGAGCACCCACCAACAACCCAAACAGAGATTGTAGAAGAGAATCATCGCACTCACTTGAAACTGCGCCAGGATTTGTTCAGCATTGGCAAGCAGTGCCTCGGCCTTCTCTCCACGAGAGGCATTGAGAATATCGACGGGCAGTCGTCCCTGGTGACCACAGTAAAGGTCAAGGTCAAAAATACAGTCTTGCATTTACGTATCAAAACAAGGACATAGCGAACAGACACATAGCAAACACACATATTAGTAAGACACACACCCAGTTTACAGATTTTCAGGTCCAAAATTCTCTTTTACTCATATATTTCCTTTATAGTTAAAAAGCAGGTATATTGTGAAATTCATTTATAGTGAAAAGATTTCAGTGTCCCGCTGATTTCGTTATCTTAATAATAATGTCATTTGTAAAGCACATACCCATGCTCTTCAGCATGCTCTGTGAACTTGACAACTATTATTATCCTAGCAGATCCCAGAACACCCAGAAACATACTCGGCTTCCCAGGAAGCATACAGTACAAGCAGCCAATTATGAACTTAAATAAATGATAAGTGAAACCAAGCAGCAGAAACAACAATTTAAGTTATCCTGCTTACATGAGACTAAGTCTCAACCACATATTTCAATGCTTAAATGCATACAGTTTTAGATTTTCTTTTTCACAAGCTTTGAGGAGATTGGGGAAGTGCACATTGGTTTCTTTCTCATTTACCATTTTCGGTCAAACACCTCCTTTAAGTACTTTCCATGACACTACGCTCAGCTCCAATTATAAATGTCATTCTAGAGGCAAAAACCGCCCAACTTAAAGAGGCTGAACATTACAAGGAGTAAAACTGGTTTCCTGCGATAGACAACAATGTCATAAAATAATACATCAAAGCGGAGACTGGGGAATGTGAAAAAGTTACTAAAAATATGTACGAAAAGTGCTGTTCCCATAATTCAGTGTTCACATTTAAAACATGGTCAATTTGCATTGTGCAAGACAACAGCTGAGACTATAAATAGAGCTTAACCTGTTTTAACTGCCTCCTGTATGAGACAATCACCTGTACAAACAGCCACTTCCCATTACCCCTTTCCATTGTTTTTTTTTTTTTACATTATAACGGCACTGTGTAAGACGGCCACCTGTCTAAGATATCAACTTTTCTCCTTGACAATGGGTGGCCGTCTTAGACAGCTTCATCTGTATTACTAACCACAGAATTGACGGGAAAAGGAATTCCAACCAGATGAGACATCAGTGTTGCTACGTCAGCCTGTCAGGGAATAAGCAAAATGATTTTTTAAAAACATTTCAGGTAAGAGTTTTGTTATAGTAAGAGTTTTATGGAACTTGCAACACAATAAGGTCAGATAAGTGCTGAATAATAGTGTTACAAAAGAGCAACAAACAAACACAAGAAATGAGAGAGATAAGGACGACGATAGACGTTTGATAGGAAAAAAGGAGCAAACCACACCAGACCACCAGTCTGCCACCTGCTGATATGAGTTTCACCGCAGTTGCAGCACAAATAGGTCATACAAGTGATGAAGATTAGAAGTGTTGCTGAAGAGTAATATACAAAGAAAAGGAGTAGAGATAAAGACGATAGATGTTTGATAGGAAAGGAGGAGCAATCCACACAAGAGCGCCATAATACCATACAATAGCATAGTGACTTTGATACATATACCCTGCTGGAGGATTCTTTAAAACTTACCCCATTTCAAAATTTGACCTGTACACTTGAATGATATTTAAGATTTTGCTCTGAATAACATGGAGTGTTCAGTGACAGAGCGAGTGGTGTGGAGGGGAAGTAACTGTATAAATCATCACACAGCTAAACTTTGAAGACAAATACAGTAAAACCTGCTCAAACAGCCACCTGTCCAAAACAATCACCTGCATAAACAATCCCCCCCCCCCCCAGCCCCAGTCATCACATCAAGCACCAGGTCTGTGACAGTCGGTAACAATCATGGTTCACCATTCTTTCCTTGCCCAGATGCACTCAAATAAAGCTAGATTATCCTGATCTTTCCCCATTACCTATCTGTTTAAGCTTTCCAAGTAAGTTGCTCTGGGTCTATCTCTGCTTCATATGCCTTTAGTTTTACCGGTGTACCAGTGAGAGCTAGATGTTCAAGGCCCGTTACGTTCAAGCAACAGTACAAAAGTCAAAAATACCTGTTCCATGTCTGATCTCTGCACATCCTCAAGTTTCCAGTCTGAGAAAAGGATGCGATAACAGTAACTGGTCATTTATAAATATGTGTGGCATACTGACAAAATAAGTTACTTCTTGCAATTCTCGACTGGAAATATTATTGAAAAATAGACAGAAGGGTCAAATTTGTAGATTTTAAACTGATGCCATAGTCTAGAAGTTTTAAATGTTCAGTATTATTCCATACTTATAAAGAGTACAAACTCAACCAGAAAACCCAACATTTCTATTTCCAAAGAGCTATACTATAATCCCAAGAAGTATTACTAATTTTGCCAGCATGTCTTACATAAGATAAATCTACAATGACTGATTGCATTGAAGTATTTAAATCAACATATAATTCATTTGAGGAGCCACAAAACTTTAAAGGTTTGGTGAAAAAAACATAAACAACCATTACTATAGTAGTAGGAAGCTGAATCACAGAGCAAGCAGAGAGCATAATTTAATGATAAAATGGCTCTATCTACTTAAACGGAACTTTTAAAAAAATATTCTAAACTAGGACTGTAACTAAACAGTTTTCCACAGTCAACACAGACAAACCAATATTCTTCTCATCTTCAGAAAACTTAAGTACCCTTTTCAAAAGATTAACTGCTTAATGCTATTTTCTAAAGAGATTTTTTGTTTGTTTTTTAAATTTCAGTCAGAGTTGAACAGCACTGGCAACTCACTTAGATCACATAGGTGCAAAAGATTGTAGGAGTTGCAAAAGAGGAACATACAAAGAAAAGAAGGAGGAGAGATAATGACGACAGATGTTTGACACGAAAGAATGAGCAAACTGCACCAGAGCATCTGCCAACCACGCACATTTCAAAGAGGGAATGTCATAAAAAAATAGCAGATCACTGGCCAGCTGTTCAGCTGTACTAAGACTAAGACCAAAATTTTGAAATTTTTTACATTGCAGTTGCATTAGTTGCATGAGGTCAATAATTATTTCTTTGAAATTCAAAAATAGATGTTGAAAATGTAAAAAAAGATACATAAAGTAGGTACAATTGTTAAAAGAACGAAACATACAGTTGGTTGAACAGCTTGCTGACAGAATACCTCAGCGGGCCATTTATCTTTACCTGCACAGAAAGAGTCTGTGTACACGCCACAGTTCGCCGACTTCACCGGACTACGTACTCCAGCACCCCATGCTACAAACGGAGTCAAAGTTTCTTGAGCATGCCCGGCTCCATGAGAACCTGAACAAATTGACAAACAGAAAAAATGAGGCTGAAGAAGTACACAGAATGATAACACTACATCAATTATTTCACTTCATCGGTTCAAAGAATTACAAAAAAATGTCCTTTCCTTTACCATTTATTGTTTACCACTAAAGACGGACATTAAAATGACCCTAATTTCATTTCAACTTTGGACCTTAATGCTAAACAACTGTGACAAAAAAGTATACAAGAGAAAGATATATAGGCTTATTGTCTCGCCCCCTGATGTTCACCCATCCATCTTCAGGTGCATTACAACTTAAAAAAAAAAATTTCAACATGTAACACATACATTATCGGCATTCTCCCACAAACCACTTAGCCACAGTTGAATTTTCGGAAAAAAAATATTAAAGAAGAAGAGATCCCTAACTTGGACACGTGATTTGAACTAGGAAGGATATAAAACAAAATGAAACAATATTCAAGATGCCATTTGATGCCTTTAGTTGAAAATCGGCTTTATCTGGAAACCCCAAGACAATGATTTAGGTGATTGTGAAATGAGACTGATGGCATGACAAAATGACCCAATCACGGGGAGGAAGAGAGAGAGATAGAGGAAAGGAGGGAAGGAGATAGGGGAGGAAGGTTGGAGGGAAATCAAGAAAAAAAAGGAGGAGTGAGGAAGATGGAGTGATGAGAAAAGGACAGAGAGAATTCGATGGAGAATAGAAGTACGAACCCCAGTCTGTCATCCCATGATCAGCCGTCATCACAAACGCTGTCTCTCCGTCGTCCTGGTAGAAATCTCGGAATGTTGACACCATCTTAGAGATGCCTTTATCTACTAGCTTAATGTTATTCAAGTATTCTCTGAAGAAAAAATTTTTAGAGGGAAAATTTTTTTTAAAAAGAGAAATGTTATTTGAAGTAGTTCAGAAATGAATCATTCAAAACCAAACCCACAAAAAGGAAAATGATGGGAAAATCAAAAGACACCTGAAATAACTATATCAGCTAAGGGCATTTTGTAGACAAAAGGATAAAGGCCTAAGATGGAACTGAAAACCAGGATGACGGATACACAGAAATACCTAACACTGGAAAGAAATAACAGTTGAAATTGTTCAAAATAGCCACTATTTTGTTGGCAAAAAGAGATTGTCTTAGGTGGATGTCTTGAACAGTAAATAGTTTAATTTTTTTTCAACGCAAGCAGGACATGGGAAGTGGTCATTTGTCCAATTGATAATCTTGGACAGGTGGCCGTTACACTAGAGCAGGTTCAATTGTATACTATGTCTTACATTTTCTTTCCAACTAAAGACTAAAAAAAAAAAAAAAAACCTTACATAAAAATGAAAAGAAGCATCTTCAAACATTTTAAAGATTAAAAACACATTATAACAAAATCTTCTATCAAGCAACAATATGTGGTAATGTTATGAAGGGGGGAAAATCCTCGTCATGACTAATATATTACAAGGACTTTGATAAGTAAAAGCAGAACTTATTACTCAGAGTGGACATGAAAACAAAACACCTGAAATTTGAGGTGATAATAATAATTCAAAGAATGACCTCATTATTTCAGCCTGCTCTAAAAATTAACTGTGGTTTCAATTTTTAAAAAATTTAATGATTAAAGCAATGCTCACTTAGAATGTGGTTTGTTGGAATGTCCATGTGTGTCTATCCCCAAAAGGTGCAAGAAAAATACAATCTTATCCCTCTTGAGCTCAGCTGACAGAGACTCGTTGAGAGACGCAGACTTGAGAAATTCCTGAAACAAACACAGGTACACACAGCATCAAACAGACAGTTGAAGAGATATTTTTGTGGGTGGTTGGTGGATGCACTCATGTAGTTTGCTCCTTCTTTCCTAGCAAACATCTATCATCCTTATCTCTCCTTATTTCTTTTGTCCGTTATTTTTCAAGTAACGCCTCCAATCTTCAGCACTTATCAATCTATTTGTGTTGCTTGTGTCATACAACTCTTACAAAAAATAAAACTAAGAGATATTTTATAACGCCATTGATCTTATGACTAACAAATAGAAAGCCTCACTTTATGTCAAGAAGGAAAGAGAAAAAAACCCTAGGATTTTAAAAATAAACTATTTCTCCCAAAGTCTTTACTTGTTTGGTTTGCCTGATCACAGGCATTTTCCAACATACAATGGTGAAATCAAATAATATCCCCTGACATCACAGGCTATTTATTAGCGATGCGTGAAGGTTTAAAATACCAGAACATGTGTAGTAGTTTGAGACTCGTGAGTTGTGCCCTAAGTCTGTTCCAGCTCTTATTACCTCCACTTGATCAAAGACCCAAGTGTCCAAACGAGTCATGTCGGAACCCGCGAAGTCCTCCAGGTCAGCAGGGTAACAGCTGGTGCTCACATGGTCTCCACTAGCACCTGCCGAAATACATACACAGTTGGTCAACTGTTGAAATGTACTACGCCCAAAATTTTTTAATCATTAAAAAAAAATCATTGCAGTTTCCTCATCTGTGCTATAGGTTGCATGTGCTCAGGAAATATTTTGTCAGAATCCAAATTTAAAATGTTGAAAAAAAAAAGTATAAAGCACACCAAAAAAAACCCACAGAAGAAAGTAACAACTGTTAAAATAATTCAAGAGGTTTTTTTCCGTTTTTCTCCCCCCTCGTACAATTTTGCTTACTGGGCTAAGTACATTTTAACGGCTTACAGATAATCCACTGGATTTTCATCTCTTTGAAAGTGATAAGACCTTTTACTATCACTGTTTAATTTTGAAGAAGCTGATAAAAATCTCAAAGTCTGAAAGTGCACTATGAACAAGGAGTTAGGGTGGGCTTTGGGGTTTGGTTTGGGGTGAATAGTTCGGTTAGGAGTGGGGTGGGCCTTGTGACAGGCCTTAGGGCTTGGGGCGAAGAGTGAAGGGTGGGGGTTTTGGGTTTGGGGTGATGGGTGGGGTTTTGGGTTTGGGGTGAGGTTTGGGGTTTGGGGTTTGGGGTCTGGGGTTTGGGGTGAAGGGAGGGCTTTGGGGTTTGGGGTAAAGTGTGAGGTCTGGGGTGGATTTTGGGGTGAGGTGTGGGGTTTGGGGTGAAGCTGGGGTTGAGGGTGAGGAGTGGGCTTTGGGGTTTGCGGTGAGGTGTGAGGTGGATTTTGGGGTAAGGTTACACAAACTGTTCTATCCATGCTCAAAGGATTTTCTAGATACTTCACACCAGGAATAGGCAAGCGTATCAAAGTCCTCGGCCGGATTAAGCCATTCCGAATAAGTCACGGACCAAAGTAGGCAAAATTTTGGAGAAATGTCACTCAGGGGCACTTCATGAAATGAAATATTAGATCTATTTCTTCTAGCTGAGCATGAAACTATGTATTTTGATTTTCAAGACAGACAATTTTGTTTTTATTAATTATCCCCGCAGGCAACATTCATTAGTATTATTAACTAGTGGGGCCCCCTTTCGATGAAAGGAATGTTCGGAGCATTAACATCAACTGAAAGTCATTTGCTTACAATATTTACACTCTACTGGAATGGAGCAATAAATCTTGAGAGATGCAAAATATTAGAAGGTCTAGATCTATACTCTCAAATCAAAATATGCCTCGCAAAATATCACTTCCAGCACTTCCGGGGTGGAGGACAGCTACGCAGATTTGTTTCGTTTCTCAGTGGAATAATCAAAAATGCCAAAGAAGGACGCGAACTTTTTGTCAAATATATTTTTCTAAATTCAGGAAAAGAATAAATAAAAAATCGGGCTATGTCACGGGGGCCTATCTATCTTTTTGCAGGTACTTGCTAACTTTCAACTCTGTAGCTGTTGCAGTTTTATTGGAAAAGTGACACATGTGTTTCCAAGTAGCCAAATATATAATAGATGCATAGATTGATTCTCTATATATCCGCATTCGTGGTTGTACACTCCAGAATTTCAAAGGTGAGGAAATCAGTGCGCACGGCTAGTAAACGGAAACCTCACTTGTTAACGATGGCGTCTTAGAAGACGGACTTTCCCAAGATTAGATCTAAACGAAACTAATGAAAAACTGGAAATTAAACTACAGTGACTTCAGGCTCCCTAATAAAACTGAGCACCCTTTAAATGATTCTGAACCACCATTAATTTTGTCAGATTCGAAAGTTAAGAGGTTCAGAAGTTTTAGGCGGCCAAAGTGACAAATTTTCACAAATATAGTATATAGAGAATACCTAGTTGACTTGCTGGCTGAATTGAAATTTCTCTATTTTGCAGTTTTAGTTTTACTAAGGTTTTACTGCGTTCGCAACTACATAAGGTCATATGAGCGTCAAGGGGTGGATTAGTTTTAGTAAGTGTTATACGGCACTTGCCACACAATATGGTCATATAAGTGCCGAAGATTAGAGATGTTACAAGAGAGTAACAAACACAAAAAAGAAGTAGGGGAGACAGAGACGATAGGTCTTTTATAGGAAAGAAGGAGCAAGCCACACCAGAGCACCGCCAACCACCCACCAAGGGGTGGATGGTAACAGCCAGAGAAGTCCAAACCGGGAATCAGGCTTACTCTGCTCACCTCTCTAGCCTCAACAGCACTAAGTCTGCTTCGACTGTCAAGGCACCCTGGAAATTGCATTTCACAAGAGAGTGACAAACATACAAAAGAAGTAGAGGAAAAATGACAATAGTAAGGAAGAGGAAAAAAAAGCACCAATTCCCCCTATGTTGTTCCGGCACAGTATGAGCATGACATAGATAAACCAGCCCATTTACAATTCTACTGTGCATAAGAACATATTAATATCCCCCCTTTGGGAATGGCCTAAAGACAACTTCAGTCAGTAGCACTGCCCTGGTAGGGGGGGGGGGGGAGGGGGGGAGGAAATTGCTCACTGGCTGGATCTGGATTTAAGGCCATAGTGTTTGCCCTCGCCCACTGTACACTGAAGAGAAAAATGTAACTCTTGATTGAAAAAATCTTTGAAAAGAAAAGTAGTTTTACCTTTAGCAAACATTGGTAGAATATCTGGACTGCCCCAGGACCATGTGTGACGACTTTCGTTGAAGACAGAATCAAACTCAACAGGGTTCTCCTTCCAACCTGAAGCACAAAAGCTCAATGAACAAAACTTTAACAATTTTTTTAAAATGCCTTTCTAGGTAAACATATGACAAGACATTTTTTATTTTAAAGAAGAGCACAGCTTCGACAAATTTGTCAAAGTCACAAAGTAGTGTGTACAGTTGATACTGACAAGAAGGATAAATATTTCTTTCAATTTATTATACAGTCGAACCCGCCATGAAGGCCACCTGTAAAATACGGCCACCTGTACAAACTGTCGCTTTCCATTTCCCCTCTTGTGTTTTTCTATATAATTTAACTGCGTAAAACGAGCACCTGTCCAACGCGGCCATCCTATATATCAACCGACAACCAAATTTACCTGCCGAAGACCGCCAGGCTTTGTTGAAAGTTATGCATTTTCCACTGACGCTGTGAACAAGCCATCATAATTCATTCATCTGTCGTTATGTCAGTCCCTTGAATGGATAAAGGGTCATGTTGCTTAGGTCGCTCCCAATGTTTACCCAAGTTGACCAATGGATAACAATACATTTTCAGCTGCTGGAAATGGAAGCTGGTGATCCGTCAAAACCGATAAGCCCCCGTCCTCAACTCAGTCCCTAAACCCGGTCCATAACAATGGAAGTCAACACAACTTTCAAACAGAAGTGTCACTCATTTGCCAAGTGGTGGCGACCCGTTTGTTTGTTTTACTATGGCACTTGGTCTTTCTCGTCTGACACATTTAGTTTTGTTTTGACCTTTCACGGAACTATAATAATAATAAAACTAACAACAAAAAGTCCAACAAAAACTGTCCTATCCTCTCCCCCCTTTCAAAACAGAAAAACAAAGAAACAAAAAACACCCAACATTTTAATGAGCCCTACCAGGCATTTCTAAGCCTGCGACCATTTCTGGTTGAGATCTCAGAAGTAATAAATGGTTTGTTTTCTTCATTTTGGGAGGTCCTGCCTAAGATGGCCACCTGTCTTATACGGCCAATTGTCTCCTCGACAATGCGTGGCCGTCTTACACAGGTTCGACTGTAATTATTTGATAAGAAGTGGAATGTTCTGATATTTCTCACAAAAATTAAGACACAGTTTAGAATAATAAAGAATATAATAATATTAATAATAAAAATATTAATTGCATGTCGCATACCCATGCTCTACAGCACGCTTTATGTGCTTTACAACCATTATTAGTACAGCAGAACCTAGAATACTTAGAAACATTCTCAGCTTCTTGGGAAGCATACTATGCAAACAGCTGATTAAACACTCAAACACTAACAAACTGTCAAGATCTTTTGTTGTCTATAGCCCTGTCCCCGCAGAATTATGCAAATTTAGACGACAAAATTATGCAAGAAAAATGCAAAACTATGCAAAAATTATGCAAGTTACCATAACACCATTCGCGACACGTTTTGCACTTAAGTCGAAAACAAAACATATCAGTATCAGTAATTTTTTGTGTATTTGGAAAGAAAACAATACACATCAGTCAGAAAAAAAAACAACCAAAAATTATAATCTCTGTAACTTTCTGTTGTAGATCTCTAGATCTATAGAGGAAAGAAAAATGTCAACAAAAAAAAAAGAAAGACATCTGGACCTCTGACGCTAGCACATCGCTAAAACCTGGGACACCTATCAAACATGAAACATCAGCAGACATGAGAACAACTTTTGATGGATTCAAAAATTGAACATGCTCAAGGAACAAAATCCCTAACCCATAACCAGAGTTGTTAAAGTACTTTTTAAAAGGTACTTTAAGTATAAATTTAAGTACAATCTAAAATAGGTACTTCAGTACAGTAAAAGTACTTTCCAGTAAAAGTAAAATGTACTTGAGTACAAGTACTTTTTTAAAAAGTACTTAAGAGTACATTTTGCGTACTTTCTGCTAATATGCTAAACCACTTCAGTGCTAAAGCAAAACATTATAATGAATAACATATCCAGTATGTTTGACAAATTAGGCCATTTATTACTAAAAATGTAAACAGTATACGAAGCATTTGAATATACGCACTGAATGTAGGTGGAAATGGTCAGAGAAATTGAAAAAAACAAACAAACAGACGCAACTAGTGAGTAAGTGATATTATGAATAGAACTTGTTTGAACAAGACAATATGATCAAATGTAAGTCAGTCCAAGAGGTCGGAAAGTTTTCTAGGAAAAGTATCCAAAGAGGAAAAATGTAGAGACAAAGTTGCTCTTAAGAAAACATAAAATTGATGAAAATGGCCAGCAAAGAAATGGAAAAGTACATTGAATTTTTCATTAACAAATCCTCAAGGAATCAATGTAGACTTAAACAAAAACCACCCAAAAAAAGTTTAAAAGAAATTTAGGTAGCCTAAAAGTTGTTAGTTATACATTGAGAACTCAGTTTCAGTTTCAATTGATTATAGTGGTAAGACACATTTTGGTCAAACTGTGTAGTCCACAGCGCCCACGGCAAACCAAAATACATGTAGTTTCCTAGAGTCTAGTAAGTGTAGTGTAACCAAAGATTCTCTACTACAGAAGTCTCTACCTAAGATCCTAGTGCTCGGGAGCAAGGGAAATACGGGATCTTAGCCGACGAAGCCAAGGAAGAATCTACAGTGACCCATGAACTGACGTGACCCCAGTGTGGGTTTATGACATTTATGGCGAGCAAAGAGTAGTCAACCTTGATGACCAATCAGTGGCATGAGGCATGCCATATACACTCATTAGTTTATCCTGAGTCTTGAGATCTTTTAAATCTACGTTTATCCAGTTACCCGTCCCCTTCACCTGTCCAAGAATTTTAGCCTTCCATCTCTGAGTCCCCCCGCCTTTGTCATTACGCACCATTACGTTGTGACCATACCAGTTAAAATTCAGGCTGTCTCGCAAATTCGGGAATAGAGAAAAACTGCCTTCAATGGTCAGGGAAGAGTTTACAGTTCGATGTGATCCTGCCTGGAGCGAACTTGTAGGCCCTACCCACCCAGCGAGTGATGTCAGTTTAGGTGGCGAGCTCAGATGCGAGTGCGATGTTTGCGGAAAAGAAACGCATCGGTCAGTTCACACCTCGGTGTGATCCCATCTGGGGCAAAATTGTACCGTTTCATGAAGTATTACAACGCTTGTGATCCCATTCACGAGAGTGGCTGATCTTTAACGCGACTGGCCGTTCTTTGATCTCAAGTTTTAACTCTTGGTCTATCGGCTGTGTCCGCCCGAGTGTTTGTTCCGTAAATTATGATCAGAAATGCCGGCACTTACTCTTTCATTAAGCTTCAAAAGTAATCAGAATGTACTTTAAAAATACTCAAAAGTACTTTTATAAAAAGTATCGAAGTAGAGTAAAAGTACTGGTTCTCAAAAATTTACTGGAGTACAGTAAAAGTACTGAAAATTGTTACGTAAGTACAAGTACTCTGAGTACTTGCACTCCATTACAACCAGCTCTGCCCATAACCATTAACCAAGATCTTGTAACAAGGGAAATAACGAACTTGTCACTTAAATGAGAGTTATTACGGTGATTACTTTCCTTTAGTCACATGGCAAGGTGTTCAATAATTGTTTTGTGAAAAATGAAAAAAAGCGCGGGGAATCCATAATTCTGCAACATTAATTGCACGATAAAATGCGGTCGCAAAATCACATAATCCGGCGGGGACAGATAGCCGGGTACCCTTTCCCACCTGGGTGAAGTGAGGAAAATTCATGCAAATTGCCTTTCCCAAGGACACAACATTGCGTCCCTGACCGGATTCAAACCTATCACCCTACGGCTGAGAGTCTAAGAGTGTAACCACTGGACCACCGATGCAACTAAGTATACCGGGAGTAAGACAACAGTGTACCTACCCTTTGCCACAGCGCTGACATCCTCGTAGAAGCCAGCGATCAGCGCGACATGGCCTGGCCGTGACTCGGTGGGCACGCGGGTGTGGGAAATTCCCCAGACACCTCTGTGCTCGATGACGTCCCTGTGGATGGAATCAAGCTCTCTCGTCTTTCCTTTCATTTCTACGAATACGACCGAGCAAGTTGGATAACTGTAAATGATTACATGACAGTGGGCACACTGTTGGCTTGGTTCGTATGATGTTAGAACTGCAAAGGGGATGGCCCTAGTTCATATTCCAGACGGGGTGCTCTTGAACTCGGATCGCTTTGTGGAGTTTTCAAGGGCTCTAAACCCATTTGAATCCATTCATTTAAGATGGACGTTAAATTCAGAGGTGCTGCCTCATAAATAACTTAATAATGTTGTTTTTAAACCCATGTGTGACCCTTTCACTTTAGATGATAGGACATAGGTTTATATTGATATATAAGGAAAATGAACACTCTCAAAATGCATGCGAATATGATTAAACTATCAAATGACACTACCTTTCATATATTTTCCTCTTCCAACCCACAAACCTGAGATAAGGGGCGCGGGTCTTCCCGTCTTCATCCAGCTCAAAAAACTTGTCAGCTCTCAGGCCGTCGGTGACAAACAGGACCAATCGCTTGGCCGGCTTTCTGGTGGGGGGAGACACTGGCGTCATCCCGTGCACAAGAGGAGAAGTGAAGTAGATGTCAAAGATGGAGTAGAACAGCACTAGGTGAACCAAAACACCAAACAGAATGAGCTGCCATACTTTCATCCTTCTCTCTTGGAGCACAAAATTTTATGGTCTGGCTCTGAGAACAAAAAAATAGATAAAAACTTTAACGGCAAAAAAACAACAACCGCCGAAATTGTAAATATTGAAACATTTCAGTTTTATTACATCATATACACTGAAGAAAATATCATACCATACCACTTTCCTCTAATACTATACTGTATACATCATGAGACATCCTGAGAAGTGAAAGTTTGAAGAGAACTCGTTTTTTACAAAATGAGACAAACGTACCCTTTGTTTCATTACTGTATTACAAAACAAAGCTAATGAAAGGATGAATAAGCATGAGATTTTGCCACATGACCGTCACTGTTTCTCTGATAGTGAAAATGAAGGTAATAGAGAATCTAGATCTAGATTCTAGATCTAGATCTA